AAGTATTCCATCTGAGGCAAAACGTCTGACACTTCTAAACGAAACTGCATCTCCAAAAGTGTGTTTATATCCCAAAACAGCTCGTTTTCCTCCGAAGCAACCTAAAACCTGTAGAGACTCGATAAACGACTAAAAGACTCTAAAAACACACTTTGACTCGATAAAACATATGATGTAAGAAAGAAAACAAAGACTCAAAACCGATAAAAATACAACATATCATGGTCTATGAGTTAGAAAACTTACTCAGGATCAAGATATACGGGAGTTCCTGCAACAACTGTTGCCACTTGAGTTTCAGCTCCGACAGAAAATGATCTTGAGAGTCCAAAATCCGCGAGTTTGGCTTCGAAACGATAGTCTAATAGTATATTCGTACTTTTGACATCTCTATGAACCATTGGCGGCTCACACCCAACATGCAAACACTCTAAACCTATGGACAAAAAATCATCTCTATGTTGAGCGATTATTGTATAGTTGGTAGGCCAAAAAGGAATGGGTAAGTATATGAAGTTTAAGTACTTCATAATGATTTTGCAATATTATAAAGTTAGCAAGAATTAACCTTGTGCCGCCTCAATAGCAATTTTTAGTCTACTAGCCCATTTCAAAGTAGGTCCAGAGCATTCTCCTGTAAATGAAAATGCTAATTAAATCGTTACAGTTAAAAGATATCAAAATGATTGATTCAAAGACAAATAAAGACATCAACTATTAATGTTTAATTACCTGATAAATGTTGTTTAAGGTCTCCATTAGCCATGTACTCATAGATGAGTGCCAAATGACCTCCTTCATCACAGTAACCAACAAGGCTTACCAAGTTTATGTGATGAACTCTTAATAGAAGCTCCACCTTTTTTGGTCAATTTCATATATATAAAACTCTCAATTACACATAAAACAAGTTATTTTCGATTGAACAAGTACAAAAACCTGAACATACCTCTGCCTTAAATTCTTTATAGCCTTGAACTGATGACTCGGAAAGAACTTTAACCGCTACTGGTTCGGTATCACTCAAAGAACCGTGGTAGACAACTCCAAATCCTCCTTCTCCAAGAACTCTTTTGAAGTTATCCGTTAGCTCAACGACTTCCAAATAAGTGAACTTTTTCTTTTTGGCAAAGATAGATGACTTTCTTGGTAACTCGCGTGTAGCAACTGTATATGGAAAAATCATATAAGCAATGCCATTATTATATACCATGAAACTTAACAGAGTATTAAGCCTTTGTGTGCATCTTGATTGATATATCTATATACCTTTTGATAAGGGCTTTTTCTTTCTCAAAACAAAAATGAGACCCAACAAGGCGATAAGAGCCGCCATTGAAGCAAGGGATGCAAAAACCGGCACTAGGACTTTCTTGTTCTTGCATGAGTCAGAGAGACATAGATTTGGGTTTCCTTGAACACTAAATAACAAGAATGTTATTGAATACGCAAAATCATCAGGGACAAGAAACTGTTAATGAGAAACTTACACCAATTTTAGTCCTTTCTTTTCTCTATTGCGAAGGGCTAGAGGAATCGGACCGGTTAAGCTATTCCAACCTAAGTTTCTGTCAAAACAGAGAAGAACATTATGGTATATACACATCATCCATAAATCTGGTGCAAGAAAGTATGATCACTTATTGTTTGCCATGAAATAAACTCACATGATCAACAATGATTCCATGTTGGCTAGAAATTCAGGCACCCCTCCAGTTAGATTGTTATTCGATAAGTCCCTATTAGTCGATTACGATAACCAAGAAGATTAATATACGAGGTATAAAAACAATAAATGCAGTTTTGAGGATATTGTTGTCTCACAGTTCTTGTATTTGAGCTCTCTAAGTCTAAGATCTGTGCTATGACCCCCTTTAGTCCACTTGATGATAAGTCTCTGGTTATAAAAACAGAACACACATTTTAAGATATTAAACACTAGTTTTTTTTTTTTTAATTAAATCTGTAATTAAATATTCTTACAAGGATATGATTCTTGGTGGAATAGAAGCATTTGTGTTGCTGCAATTTATTCCCTCCCATTTGAACAATCGAGGAACACACGGATCTCCTTGCCAGTCGATTTTACTCAATTCGTAAGTAGCTCGAACATTCTGGACCACAACGACTGACAATAAAACCAAAATTAGAATACAGAAACATAGGTAAATATCGCAAAAATTCAATACTAGTGAAGATTGACTAACCATCCTCTGGATTAGTTTCTGCATCCGGGAACTCAATAATCTGGTAAGCTTCCATAGCATTGATCATTGGTGGGAGCGTTGAGCTCTTAGTCATAACCAGCTCCACTGTACATTGCATAAACTTACATTTCATAGGCGATGTGTTGTATAAAGTCTCTAGCTGAAACTTCGAAGGGCGATAAGCTGAAATGGTAATGTTTCCATCGTTTCCTTTCCATATAATGTCAAACTCTCTTGTGTCATTGCCTTTAAGTGTTTGAATCTCAGCAAAATGTAGGTAGATGAGAGCTTGATCTTCGCGGTTATCGACATACCAGTCGAAAGATAACTTCTCAGTCACATTTTTGTTAGTGATTGCCTTTGAGATTAGTTCTTGTGGTAGCTGATAAGGAGTAGAGGAATTTACATTGAGACTAGTGTTTATGAAAGTCAAGCCAAACGAAAGACTTATTGGCTTCCACTCACGATCATATATATCTAAAGGATACCTGAACAATAAAAAACAATGATCAAACCTTTATTTTTATTAACAAAACTCTGTTTCTTGGAAAGTAAGCAAAGTTAAATTACCGAATCGAAGGACCGAAAAAATTGCTAGCGTAGTAGCGTTTTAAGAGCTTTAAGGAACCATTTTGAGTGATGTAAGTGTCATCTCTCAAAGGTCTTAGTTCCAAGGCTGAGATGATTGGTGTAGTCTTCCCTGTTTTAACAAGACAAATCTCCAAAGAGCTTGACTTTGTGATGTGTATGATCTCTTCCGTTTGAGAAAGTAATGAGCTTTTCAAATCGACCGTTGTCCATATGTTAGGACCTAGATATAGATCAAATATCGGGCCATTGTTAAGCCCGTCGTAGTTTCCGTAGAGAAAGAGAGCTTTGATAAGATACTTTTTGGATGGAGTGACCCTTAAGTTATAGCAGTTTCGTATTCCGTCTGGAAAATATCTTAGAACTGTGAATGGCTTATAAGCTTCTTCCCAAATCTTTTGGACTCTACCACTTTGACCACCTTGAGTGAAGTTGGCATCGGATATGTATGTTAATGTTGTTAATGGTTCGGTATAAGGAGATACCGCGGGGTGTAAACCGCAATCTAAGTTGATGAATTCTGGTAAGAGGTGAGATAAAGATCATGTCGAGTAGAAGAAAAAAAGAAAATGCAGATTTCAAGACTTGTAAGGAGGAAAGTGTTTAAAAGAGTGTGTACCTTTTGGATCAGGCTGAGCTTGAATTAGATGTGAAGTAGTGGCAAAAGCCACAATGATCAGAGCTAGCAAAAGTTCTTAGAGACTCTCCATTTTTTGAGGATTTTATGACATAGAGAACAGATATCGCCTGTCTGATATATTTCTTGTTCATTTTTAAGTCAAGGATTAAGGTTTTGCGTTGACTTTTGACTTATGATTATGAAAAGATTATTGGCAGAACATAAACGACTGGGATAATTGGTCACCATAATAACAACGTGCTTACAACATTCATTCCTCTATGGGTTATTAAATTAGTGGCAAGTTTTTGATTTATTGAAGTGGAACGAAATAACAACATGAAAATTGAAACAGAAATAGTTACAAGTGATGTATTTTAACCCCAAAGAAGAGTACCATTTTTAATTCTAATATTTTACTGTGTAACTTTTATGCAATTAACGATGATATGTTATTTAGTTCAATATCCAGCATCATCATTTAAAATCGTGTTTTGAAAACGAATTAAATTTTCAGATACATTTCTTGATGCATATCAAGAACGATTTAGCAACTCCAAAGAAGAAAGGTGAAAAATATAAAAATTGAGTCATGTAATAATGATTTGAATGAATTTAGAAAAGTTGTAACGATTTATTATTAAAATCTTTTTAAATTTTAATATAAACCATGAGATTTGTATCTTTGTATTTTTAACTAAGAAATCCATCTAATCCCGTAAAAGTCTTAGAAAACTAATGCCTAAAATATTGGATTTAAATAGACATTTACAAATAATGTAACATAACATTATATTTCATTGAAGACTTTAAGAAAAATCCAAAATTGAATATATAACACAAGATATGTTTTTGTGTTGTGGAGAGTATGTAAAAAAAAAAAGAGCTTATGAAAAGCTTAATAACGTAGGATTTGTTATTTGAACACAAATAATTTTATCACTACCCCCCCCCCCCCCAAAGGTGGTTTCCACTTCCACTTTAAATCTCATTGGATTAGGGAAAGAGAGTAAAAGAATTAGTTTTTGTTGGTTTGTATATGTATCGGTATGCGCCCATGATTTGGCATACCAAACCGGTTCAGTTAACCGGTAATGTTTGGGATTTCTCAAGAGACACTAAAACCATTTGTGTCTCTCTATGACATTGGTGATTTGTTGTCTCTCTATGACTCCTCTTGTCTTGTCTATGAAAGGATAACTGTAAAGAGACATGAGATAGAACTTTGTGACCATTGGCACAAAGAGAGAAATTTATAAAGAGAAAAACGTATTAGAGAGGGAAAGTTTTAAGAAATTAACCGGAAGTACATTTAAACGGTAGTTTGTTGTTGATTTCCGTTCAGGAACTCAACCCCAATCTTTACGTCAATTCTAAATCAATTCCGTAAAATTTGAAATTTGAAATTTTCCTTTTGTGGGATTAATGTACTCCTTGTTGGGTTAATCTCTTATATGTTGGCAAAAATAAAACAAAACAACTGATTCACGCTATTATAGTATTGTTGGATAACCAATGTAGAAATTTGCAATATCAGTGATCACTAACCAGTAACCACAATGACAAACTCTCTCACACAAGAACTCTTGAGCAGCTCTTAGCGCCAATTAGGGGATATTTGTGCGAAAGACATGCTCTCTTCAATAGAAATCTTTGAATCTTTCTAAATTCTTAGAATTCTCATAAAGAAGACACTCATCTAACTGATTGTCAGCATGCGACATGTTTGGTCTTCCCGCTGAAGAAGGAATTACACATGATACTGCAAGTTCAAGAACCTTCCATATAGAACGAGAAAAACCATGATAGACGGTCCTAAACCCTCCTTCTCCAATAACTCTTCCAAAGTTATTTGTCATGGCCTGGAGCTTGGGGTTTGTAAACCTTATTTTCGTTGTTAAAATCGGCGACTTAATCGGCTGTTGGTTTCGAGCTGCATAGATAACAACATTATAACTAATTTCAGTGGGATTTAAAAGCCTTGATTCATGTTACACTAACTATATATATCTCTTTAGTACCTTTCCGCATATTCTTCTTTGTGCACATAAAAATGAGTACTAGCAGCGGTATAATAAGGACCAATCTAGCAACCGACGCAACAACTGGTACCAAAATTTTCTTGTTTTTAAATTTGCACCTATCATCCGTACAAAGCTTTGGGTTTCCTTTAATCCTACATACCACAAGTGCTAGAAATCTTAATATAGCAATGTAAAATAATCAAAATTAACAAATCTTACATTAACTGGAGCCCTTTCTTTTCTCTATCATGAAGGGCTTGAGGAACACTAGCGTTTAGCTTGTTCCAACATAAGTTTCTGTCGAGAAATAAAGTTACATGATATTCAGTACAATTAGTGCAAAAAAATATGAGACAGGCAGTGTTTGTGTTCATTTCTTACATGATCATCAATGATTTCATGGTTGCTAGGAATTCGGGAACCACTCCAGATAGACTGTTATTTGATAAGTCCCTACCGTTTGTAAACATTTTAAGAGTTAATCGTTATGTCTTCATATGCAAAATATTTCGTGTCTAAAGTTAACAATATATGATAAAATATAAGAAATCAAGGGCATGTTAGAGAAGATATGACAATTGACAACTTTATGACAAAAGAATATACTCTGTTATTAATTTACGATGTCATTATCTACTCAACACCCTTTTTTTTTTTTTTATCAACAGCTATATTATATCGACTCAAATGAGTCAATGCTCATTTTTTGTCGACACGTTTTTTTATCTACTCAACACTCAATTGTTAAAAAGTGAGATATTTATAATTTACCCATTTCTCTCTTTTTTTTTTTTCTTTTTCATTTTCATTGTAATATTCATCCTTGCTTATTATTTTTTTTTCCTTTTCATTTCTCCATATATCCCAAAATTATGACAATTAAGGTGATAGCTACGTTATTGACCCAAAGGATCGAGACACTTACAGTCTTTGTAGCTCGGTCAAATACTGCAGTGCAGGCACTATGGTCCCGCTTAGCCCTTTTGATCGTAAGTCTCTGCATAAATGAGCACACCGAGTTTTGTGTTTTAGCTATATATTAAACCTTTTTTTGGGTTAATTCAGCTATAAAACTTGTAATCTTACAAAGAAATGATTCTTGGTGGAGTAGACATATCTGTATAGCTACACTCAACACCTTCCCATTTCAATTGTACCGGGACGCATGGATCTCCTTGCCAGCTGATTATGCGCAATCCATAAGCGGTTTGAATGTTCATCATTGCAGCGACTGCCATATAGGTCGAGAGTAATGGAATAAGGAAATTCGTCAAATTGACACATGGAATAATGGAATCATACATTTTCAAAAATTTTAAAAACATACAAAATCTAACTTTTGTCGTGTTACTCTTAAGGGATATTTCCGAAATTGATAATAAAAATTATAACAACTTCCTTAAACAGACCCTAGTTTAGTGTCGACGCTAGATATAAAACCCACAGATTTTGGAAACAGAAAACCCATTTTTTAAACCGAGAAAAACCGGTGACCAGGGTTCAGTAGCAGTCCCGGCTCAATATATTTGAGAGCCTTTCGGCAAAAAAAATTTTTTTGGACTATTATTATATATAAAGAGAAAATTTACTTAATTTTTAAAAATTTTGCGGAGTTTTTATAGTAAAAATTGTTATTTTAAAAATTTTGGACTTTTTTATACATTTTCTTATAAATAATTAGGCCTCTTAAAATATAATTCTCATATTAATAATATTTTTAAAAAATATTTGGGCATTTTTTATATGTAAATTTTTTTATATAAAAAAAAGCCCCGGACCGTCGCACCTCCGCCCTACCCATCTGAGCCGGGGCTGTTCAGTAGTTGCACTGCCGGGTTTTGGGTTTTATCTCTAAAGCGTTGGATATGTTTCTAAATATGGATAAAATAAACCAAATGTACGTACCATCCGTTGGATATGTTTCGGAATATGGAAACTCCACGACCTTGTAAGCCTCTACAGCGTTAAGCAACGGTGGAAGAGTTGATCTCTGAGTTCTAACCAGCTCCCAGTTGCACGATAAACCTTCACATATCTTTGGTAATGTGTTGAATACGGTATCAACTTGTAACTTCTTTGGACTATACGCTGAATTCGTAACGTGTCCATCAAATATAATGTCAAATTCCCTAGTTTCGTTGGCTTGTAAATCTTGGATCTCGGCAAAGTGAAGGTAAAAAAAAAATTTGTCACTGGGGTTTGAAGGAGACAAATAAAAGGTCAATGGGTCACTTGCGTTTTCAGGCATTGAAGCTGACGAAGCTATAAGTTTTGGTACACCAAATGGGTTAGATGAATTCCCATTCAAAGTGAGTGTGGTGTTTATTTCTGTTTCATCAAACCATAAGCATGACTCCCATTTACGATCGTAGACATCATCAGGATACCTGCACAATAGTTGTCGCCTTTGAAATTCAACTCCAAGCCTAAGTAAAAGTTTTGAATACTTGAATAGATTGGCATACAAGGAAATTTTCGCTAAGAATTATAACATACCGTAAATCACGGCTTCTTTTGAACCGCCGATATATGAGTTGCAAGGAGCCTGATTGTGTGGAATAAGAGTTATTTCTTAATGGTCGTAGTTCCAACGTTGATATAATTGGTGTTGTTGTTCCTGTCTTGACAAGACATATCTGCAAGAAGTTTGACCTTGCCGTGTGAATGATCTCAATGTCATTTTGGCTGAACGTATGCACCGATGTCCACAAATTAGGCCCGATGTATATATCGAATCTGGGATAGATGCTAAGGCCATCATAATTTCCATATGCAAACCCAGCTCTAATTAGATAGTTGATGCCCTGGTTGACACTTAGATTATAACAGTTTCGTATTCCATCTGGAAAATATCTCAAGGCATTATACTGCTTGAAACCATAATCCCAATCTTTACCGATTTGACCGCCTTTTCCACTTTGGATGAAATCAGCGTCAGATGAGAATGTTAAGCCAGTTGAGGATTCATTATATGGAGACTCATTAGGGGGTAACCCACAGTCTAAGCTGATGAAACCTAGAAAGACATAAAATAGATATCTTAAAACAATTTTCAAAAGATATGTTCTCATACATTATGAATCAAAATGAAATATATAAAACAAGGACAGTTTACACGAATTATTTATAACATTAGCAAATACCTGATTGGTCTTGAGCTAGCACAAGATGTAAAACGGAAAAATCCACGATCAACAGAACCAATGTCAGCTGGTGATAACCTTTCATTTTCAATTTAGCATACAAAGATTCTGATACCAAAGATTATGTTAGCTCCACTTTTGTAAATGTACCTTGCAAGAAGGAAATTCATAGAAGAATAAATAAAGTTTGTTTTATTACCAAATGAATGCATTAATTACCCTACATTGCCTCGACAAAGTCTCAAGTGGGTGTAAACTATAGAATTACGTCCTGTCAGTGACTTGCCTATAAAGTTAACAATGCATCAACTAGGTTTTGATATTGGAATTGGGAAGTTGACATTCGAACCAAAAAAAATTAAATAACGAGAGCATCTATAATGTAACTCTTACCTCGACATCAACCAATTTTTAGAATTCAACAAGACATACACGTCTTTACCTCATATCTAAAGATTAGAAAAATCCTAGATTATGTTAGATTATTTTCCTTTTAATTTCGTAAGAACAAAATCTAGGAACTAAACATGTTTCACCACACTCACTAACACTCTAACAGAGATCGAAACTATACTCTCATTTCTTTTGGCTAACCCTAGCAGAGACTCATCATTCTATGTATTTATTTCCTCACACAATATGTGTCTACATTCCCTTTCACAACCTAACACATTTTCAAGTGGCCCCATACAAGCAAAAACATACTATTGTATCTTTAATTTGTTACAAAATATCAAATGAAAGAAGTAGTTTACTACAAAACATCTAAAATACAAAATATATTTAAATATGTGTAAATATATGTAGATAAATTTTAACAAAATATTATTAAGCCATTGATTCATAGACCAATATGACTCAGAGACCTAGAAGAAGTCCGCGTCGATCTTCAAGTTATGTTTAAAACATAATGGTTTCGATTGGTAACACGCATAATGGCGGAATGGCGTTTTCTAATAGATTATGCAGAAAATGCACCAATCAAGAAAATCTGTATAATATTTAACATAACGCTAAAACGCATCATTTGCATAATTGCCTACTAAATACAAGTAAAAACTCATTATGCAAACAATTGGGTATATAGTTGATTTTTTTTTGTCAACCACAATAAAAAAAATCACTATATGATTAGTAGCCCAAACCGGAGGAAAAAAGTATACAATGAAATTTTAGAGATTAAACCTCTAGAGAAACAAGTATTCAACAACTAATTAATAAACTCAATTATAGGAATAAATTTGAGATTTAGTTTAAAAATTTGCATAGAAAATATAAAACAATAACTTTTGTGAAACAAAAATAAAATAGATGTTAAAATGACATTTATGTTAATAAATTAGTGAATAGTTGACAGATTAAAATTTATAGACTTCGAATAGAGATAGCCTAGTTTAGTACAAAAAGAATAGCCTAGATATTTATGAGGCCGTCGTGACATCGTCGTGTATTAAAATTTTGTATCTGCGTTCATTCTTTCATTTTGGAGCGTTGAGCCGTTGACATTTTTGAGCAATTTTTGGTTAATAAGAACATGTATATTTTGTTTCTTTATCCTCTTTGAAGGAAATATTTTCACCATATCAAAACATTAGGGTATTAGTAATTACATTTTAAACCCATAACTAATTAGTATTAACATATACTCCTATACACCCCCTCAAGATGGAGGTACTGGCGTAACTCCAATCTTGCGACAAGCTTGCTGAAATCGTGCTCTCGGTAGCGGTTTGGTAAGAGTGTCGGCTAACTGATCATTCGTGGAGACATGAGAAACTCTTAGCATTCCATCTTGAATCTGATTTCGTACGAAGTGGTAATTTAGTGCAATATGCTTCATTCGTGAATGGAAGACAGGATAGGCACATAGATACGTAGCGCGTTTCATGGGCTTTACCCATGGGCCGGCCCTGGTATAGGAATTCTGAGTTCATAGAGTAAGGGGCATAACCATCGTACCTCAGCAGCGGTGTTTGCGACAGCTCGATACTCTGATTCTGTGGAGGATCGTGCAACCCCTCGTTGCTTGCGTGAGGACCAAGAGACTGGATTGTGGCCGAGATAGATGATATAGCCATTTTTCGAGATATAATCATTTGTATCTCCGGTCCAATCTGCATCGGAGAATGCATGTAGTGACATGGGAGAGGAGCCATGAAGATATATACCATGATTTTTTGTTCCCGCAAGATAGCGTAGTACACGTTTGGCCGCTTGTAAGTGAGCATCATTGGGTTTGTGGACGAATTGAGAGAGCTTGTTGACGGCAAAGGATATATCGGTTCGCGTGAAAGCAAGATATTGAAGACTTCCAACAATAGAACGATATTGGGAAGCATCATTAAGTTTGATGCCTCCGTCAAGCGTGAGCTGCGGCGTAGTTGGTAGTGGTGTATGGACTGGTTTGGCATCAAGCATTTTGTGCTTCGTGAGGAGATCGGTTATGTATTTCTGCTGCACGAGATGGAGGCATTTGGCTGACCGTGTTACTTCAATGCCGAGGAAGTAATGGAGATAGGAGGGATCTTTGATCGAGAATCGGTCTGCAAAGGAGGCAAGAACGCTTCCAATTGAGTTGTTGTTGTTCCCGGTGACTATGATATCGTCGACATACACAAGGACGTATGTGATGTCATGGCCAGAGATATGTATGAATAGGGAAGTATGAGCCATTGAGTTGACAAAGCCGGTTTTGAGAAGGTGCTGCTTTAAAGCCATATACCATGCCCTAGAGGTTTGTTTCAGACCGTAAATGGGTTTTCGCAATCGACACACAAACGTAGGTCGATCTTTATCAACAAATCCAGGCGGCTGTGACATGTAAACCTCTTCGGTGAGTTCACCTTGTAGGAAAGCGTTGTTGACATCAAGTTGTTTGATTGGCCATGATTTCGTGGTCGCAACTTCAAGAACAAGGCGGATCGTTGTTGACTTGATGACCGGACTGCATGTTTCGGCATAATCTTTTCCATATTGTTGGTGAAAACCTTTGGCAACGAGATGTTCTTTATATCGCTCAAGCACACCATTGGAGAAGAACTTAGTGGTGAAAACCCATTTGCAGCCAACGATATTCTGTGATGCCGTTGGTGGTACTAGATCCCATGTACGATTAATCGCAAGAGCGTCAAATTCTGTTGAACACGCACGACTCCAGTTCTTATCTTTTAAGGCTTGATGTATAGTTGTTGGTTCCGTGGATGGGAGCATTGTACTTGCAACAGAAAGACTAAACTTTTGGTTGGGTTTTACAATTTTGTTTTTGGCTCTAGTTTGCATTTTGTGGATATTTTGCAGTGACTAAACATTTTGGTCCTGTGGTTGGCTAGACTCGGCTTGGCTGGATGTGGGATTATTTATTGGCTGAATCTGAGTTCTGGTTTGGAACTCATTATGTTATCGAGCAGTAGGCTCTATAGACTTGGGATTATTCTAGGTTGGTGGTGACAACCCATTTTCGTTGTAAGCAGTGGGCTCAGAGTTGTGAGAGGAGGAAGAAGAAGAGTTTGAGGGTGAGAGTGATACATGTGGGTTCGTTGAGGTCGACAGCGATAGGTGAAGATCCGAGCTTGGAGGTCCTGTGGAGGCTGCCGGAGAAGATGAATCCAGCGAATGAAGCAAAGCAGACTGTTGGTTCGCCAGAGAAGATGGTGGAGCTGTTCTGCTTTGTGGGCTGTTGTGAACATGGGCCGAATTTCTTAATTGGGCCTGTTTTGTTGGTGAGCAATTTGCTGGGGCTATTTGATGAGAGCCCACATTCTCATTATTTTGCACTCTGTTTCTTTCTTCTTCATTAACAGAGCTCGACGTGGGAGTTATAGTCGCCGACGTAACTGGTGTCCAAGTGTCACTGTCGGACGGTGGCATCACCGGAGGCAGTATTTGTATGGGACAGGACACCAGAGTTGAATTGATGACTGGCTGAGATTAAACATTCACGTTTTCCTCATTGATACGTGAGCTACGTAGCTCTTGGAATGGGAAGATGGATTCGTCAAATTGAACATGGCGGGAGGTATATAAGCGACCAGTCGGACGATGGAGGCAGAAGTAGGCACTCTGTGAGGTGGAGTAGCCAAGAAACACACATCGGGTAGACCGGGCATCTAGTTTGTGACTCGCGTACGGTCGTAACCATGGGAAGCAAAGGCAGCCAAATACACGCAGTTTCTCATAGTTCGGTGATGTTTGGAACAACATCTCAAAAAGAGATTTGTTTGAGAGAACTGGAGTAGGCATTCGGTTGATCAAGTATACCGCAATAGCAAACGCGTACGACCAATACTCCTTTGGTATGGATGCCGTTGACATAAGCGTTAGACCCGTCTCTACGATATGTCTGTGTTTGTGTTCAGCAACACCATTGTGCTCTGGTGTGTGTGGTGGCGACATAAGGTGTGAGATGCCATTGGTGGAGAGGAAGGTGCGTAGAGCTATGAATTCGCCACCGTTATCCGAGAAGAGTGTGCCAATTCGGCATTGAAATCTGTTTTCAACGAGAGCTTTGAAAGCTATGAAGATCTGTTTGACATCAGATTTTCTTTGGAGTGGATACATCCAAGAGTAGCGAGTGAAATGGTCTATAAGAACAATGTAATATTTCTTGTTCTCGGTGGAGTAAATGGGTGAGGTCCATACATCCGTAAAGACGTATTCGAGTGGTCGTTTGGAGACAATAGACGTTTGAGAAAAAGGTTCTTTGTGGCTTTTATTAATGAGGCATTCAGAACAAAGAAAAAGTTTGTGTGAAGAAGTAACAGGTAAAGAAAATTGAGAAACAATTGTTTGCAAAATAGAAGAAGACGGATGACCCAATCTTGAATGCCACGAAGAAAGAGTAACTTTCGGACCAGAGGAAGACACCATCGCAACTGCCTTTGAGGATGTCACAGGCCACTCACAGAGCTCGTTTTTAGTTCGGCCTTGAGTAATGGGACCCCCGTACTAAGATCTTTCACCTGAAAGGAGACAGGGAAAAATTCCACAAACACTTGATTAGTGTTGCATAAACGATATACTGAAATTAGATTTTTCCGTATATCTGGAACAAATAATATTTTATCAAGTAGTAAAGCACGAGTTTGATTAGGAAGAAGTGTGGAACCCGTGTGAGAGATTGCCATGCTAGAACCATCAACGATCAGGACATCGTCACCGCCATTATAACGTTCATGAAGAGACAAGTTATTGAGATCAGCGATGAGGTGATGGGTAGCACCTGAATCAAGGATGTACGGTGAGCCGA